TTCATGTTTTATTCTATTCATTTTAGTTTTCTAATTTTGACCACTTTGTCGCAAAGTTTTTTGTTTTTTTTTTTTGGGTAATTCAGTGCGGAAGACATGCTCCTATTTTTTTTCAAATAGATTAGGAGTTAGCTTTTTACAGATTTTAGTAGAGTGGTGTTAGGGTTGGGAATGGAAACCACAATTAGTGACTAGGATGCAGGGTGCTACCACCATGCTCCCAGCCCCTTCCCACTTTGTGCCGAAGATAAATTGGTGTTACCCATACTTTCCAGATAAAACTATGGTAAAGTACGATAAGAGACTATTTACAATGTGCAGGTTGTTTAAGGCCGAGACTCTAAACAATCAAAATAAAGTGCATCTTCAAATAATGTCAATAAATATGGTTTCAATACTGAAAATCTTTGTGATAGCCTTAAAATATATCTAATTATAAAAGTTAAAGCTTCAAAGATAGTGTAGATCAAGCAAATCTATGAAAACTTGAAAATATTGAAAATTGATGGTCCAAAAATACAGTACAATATGCATTAGTTTCAAAGCTTGAAATCCATTTTTTTCTCATGTCCATGCATGTTGAGGCCGAGATGATCAATTTAAGGATTTTTAGGCATCAAAACGACTTCTTCAAGTGAAAAATTTTTAGGTGCACCCTAATTTGATTGCTTAGAGCCTTGCACTTATATAAATTTTCTCCTTTACTTTTAAACCAAGGAGGTCACAATTAATGTTGTCTTTTGGATTTCAAGTTTTTAAAAGAGGTCACAATTAATATTGTCCTTTGGATTTCAAGTGGGGTGGTTGTGAGCATGTCATTAACTAAACTTAAAGCTTTTTTTTTAAAAAAAGCCTCGTGAATTTTGTGACACACGTCAAACCATCCGATTTGATGTGAATGGATAGAAATAATTGTGACCTCCCTATAAAAGAAATAAAGAAAAAGTTTATATAAAGTTGCAACCTTAAAATGTAGAATTACAGATGCACCTAAAAAATACATTGGAAACGGTTGTTTTAATATTGAAAAAACCTTTAAATCATCAAGATGTATGAATATGAAAAAAAAAAAAAAAAATCTGAGTCCCAGAAATAATGTATCTTGCAACACATTATTTAAAGCATCCATTTTCAAGATTTTCATACGTTTATAGATCTACTTGATTTTAACTATATTTGGAGTTTAAAATTTTATAAATCGATATGAAAATAGATTTTGAGATAATCTTAAATTTTTTTTTACCAAAGTTATGTATGATGTGATGATAAAATTTAGAGGTGCGCCTTATGAGATTGCGACCTTACAGAAACCGCCCACAAGAAATAAATAGTCTCACACCAAACAATCCCCAAAACAATTACCAAACGATACAACATCTCTTCGAAAAGGAAGTTTCGACTCCTAAGTCCTGATACAAATAAAGCATCTCGGCGTCATGGTATCCTTTTTTCTCAATTGAGGGTGATTTCGTTATTTTCAGAAATACCAAGGTTAATTTCTTTGTGACGATACCGCCATACCCCACCACTCCGCAACGGTCCAGTAAGAGTCATGTGACAATGCGCGGCCCACATTGACAGGTAAGTTTGTCAACTGTAAAATTACCATAATACCCTGATCATTCTTTAAATGACGGGAACATCCACACTTTGTCAATCTACCCAAGATACCCTTTGGTATAAAAAGGCTTCTGTTGTTAGCCGTGTCTTGTAATGCAATGGCCCCAATGTTCCTATGGAGACGAATCTTCTATGAAAAGCTTTAAATTTTGGGAATCCAATGTTTAAAATCCCTGATCCAGCGGAGAGAATCGGCCATTGAAAAATCTAAAAAAAAAAAATTTAAAAAAAAAATAAAAAAAAAATTGAAAATGTGAGAACCAAGCGACCCGGCCATAATTCATAAATACTGTTGGGGAGTTGGGATGGTCCCCTACTATTCTATTCTTGGGTTGAATCAGGTGATTCCAATACTATCGACAATTATTAAACCGCTATGGGAAATATGGCAATTTATTGGAGGTCTGTTCCTCTCTCATACAAAAAAAGAAGGCCATCTATGTTTTGTGGTTGACATGTGCGATATATGTCTCCATGATCTTCTACCATTCAAATTTGGGTGAGGCTCATACAAGTGCCCTCTTTGTACCTTTAAATTTTATTTGGACCCAGGCACGGGCAAGTTAGGCCCGCAATGAGGCTTAAATGCCTGTTTATGGTCACAATGTAGAGTTCAAGACAAGTTAGACTCGCAATGAGGCTTAACCGCTAGCTTATGGTCACGTCCCAGAGTTCAAGACGAGTTAGTTATAAAATTTAAAAATAGTATAGAATGAGTAGATCAACAAACACTTAAAAATATTAAAAATGGACGATACAGATAATTTGTTACAAAATGTACTATTTTTAAGATTTAAAATTCTTTTTTTTCTTCATATCCATACATCTCGAGGTCAAGACGATCAATTGAAGGTTTCTTGAGGTATACCTTACTTCAATAGACCAACATTAGAACACTCTCATATGGAGGATTTTTAAGGTGCACCATACTTCAATATGAGTCTGGCATTTATATAATCTTTTTTTGTTGCAAAAAAATCTCATTTTGTTTCGGTATGTAAAGATAGTCTCATAGATTTTCTATTTTATGGTCGAGTATCATTTTTTAGAGTACATAACGTATTTTAATTTTTTTTTCGAGCCAATAAATTCGGCTCAAATTTGGGGGTGCCAATATATCTCACAATCATGCACTTGTAAAAAATACAAAAATAATTTTATAAAATATCAAAATACCCCTAAAATTAAATATAAATAACTATTTTAAAATTCCAATGATAAAACAACATTTTCCCCCAACCTTTCTTAAATTTAAGTTTTAAACACTGACGATATTTGGAGGTCTTTTATTATCAACATGTTACCTTAAAAAAATCATTATATTTTAATTTGCCTAACTATCATAAAGGAAAATTCTATTTTTGGGTTCAATCTGTTATTCTTAATGTAGAGTCTAGAGACATCTATCCTACTTGTTAAGTGGGAACGGAATACAAATCAGCCCCATTCTTAATTTGAATATGAAGACAAATACATATCATCTCTTTCTTTGTAGACAACACAACATTTTCTCTAAGTTACTTCAAAAGGTAACAAGCTTTTCATCAATGGCACTCACACATGAGATGTACCCAAAAGAAGAAAGATAAAGGAGTAAATAAAATAAAGAAATCCAGCATTTTTTACCATATAATAATTCTCTAGACCAATTCCAACCACCAACAACTGTTGAATTTCATATTGAACTCATACATCTACTGCCATTTATTCAACAAGAAATTTCATGATCATTGACTGGTTAACATTTGAAATGGTAAAATTTGAAAGAAAACTAACCTCAACCAAGACCCATCATGGTAAGTCACCTACAATACAAAAAAGGGGATCATGGCCTTTGCCCTAACTTTGAGGTCTTGAAGAAACTTACAACACACATCTATTTTTACAAGAGAGGAAAGAACCTATGCTATAAGAGTCTATCAAAATATGAAAGAGGTGGATAGTCATTACCTTTATCAAAATATGAAAGAGGTGTATAGAGTCTAGCAAAATATGAAAATGGGGTGGTTGCATTTATTTCATTGACCAAACTCAAAGTTTAAAAGAAATTTTTTCGAATTTTGTGACACACTTAAACTATTAGATTTCATATTGGATGGTTATAAGTAATGCCACCTCCTTATATTAAAGGTTAATGGTATCATTACATGTAGAAAAAAGTTTATATAGAGCCGAGGCTCTAAACCATCAAATTGGAGCCTACATAACAAATTTCATTAGAAGAGGTTGTTTTGATGTCCAAATATCATCAAATTGATCATCTCGACACCAAGATGCATGGACATAAGAAAAAAATAGATTTCAAGTTTTGGAAATAGTGTATTTTGTAACATATTTTTGGCCCGTCAATTTTAAATAATTTCAAGTTTTCATAGATCTGTTGATCTACATTATTTTTGAAGCTTAAATAACGATGAAAATATATTTTAAAATTATCACAAAGATTTTTATTATTGAAACCATATTTATCGATACTATTTGAAATTAGGCTCTAATTCGATTGTTTAGAGCCTAGGCTCTATACAAACCACACCCATATATAATCCTTACTTAAAATATTTTTAAAGAGATATTTATGAAAAGGTGTGCAAGCAAGACACTTACTAGCGTGCATTGGCAGACAAGGAAGGAGAGGATTATATAAGATGTCAACCTTAAATAATCGTGGTAAATTGCATTTCAAAATGTCATTAAAAATGCATTTTAAGTGCCGAAACTCTTATAATGACTTAAAATATATTTTTCACTTTTATTACAATATTGGAAAGTCTAAAACTGGCACAGATCCAACACATCTATGAACTTTCAAAATTCTTTAAAATAAAAAATATAAATAATGTGTTATAAGATGTACTATTTTTAAAACTTGAAATTTATTTTTTCTTTCATGTCCATACACATCGAGGTTAAAATGATAAAGTTGAGGGTTTTCCGTGACCAAACAACTTTTCTCAATAGACTTTTAAGGTGAACCATTCTTCTATAATATGAGCTTAAACGCTTCATGTAAACTTTTCCTATAGAAAATGTTATTTTTTTTTAACTACATGATGAAGGGTGGCCACTGAAAACCCAATTTTTTTTTTTTTTTCAAAACCACCTAATTTTTTATATGATGACTAAAAATAATCTTGAACATTTTATTTAGCCCTCTGATTTTCACATCGAACAGAGAAGACGATCTCATGGGCAATAACACGTCTTGCAAATTCGCGAACGGATAGGCTCAAATTGAAAGCGACATGTGTTTGTTTATCTGGAAATCAAGAATAATCCTTTGGGACGTCCCTGTCTTTAAAGTAAAAGACCTGGTCATTTCAAGCTAGCTTTCTCAACTATAAAGTGAACTTTTTTTTCTTTACCAAGTTCCTTATGTACGAAGGGTCTTCCCTCTCTCTCAGGGACTTCTTGCTTGCCCCAACTGTGAGCAACCGCGGCCGCAAAAGCCGCTGGATTTTGGCTGGAAACTCTATAAAGTGTAGTTTTACGTCGATCGTCGGCGGAAAATGGCTGAAGAACCTTGCTTCCTTTGCCGGAAAATCTGATATACGGCCGTTTTGAAGAACCCGGCCAGCGAGAGAACAGGAAGAGAGTGAGAGTTTGATAAGCGAGCTATACTTATGCAGAGGCAGTCGCTAGGCTCGCCTTCCGGCCATGGAAGGAAGGAAGGGAGAGAAGAGACAGAAAGCGTCCGACAAGAGATGGAGAAGAAGGGAGACAATCCGATCAGAATGGCCGAGCGATTCGTCCACTTTATACCGGTTTTGATGATCATGTGCCTTCTGGTTCTTTATCTCTTCTCCTATGATCCATCGAGTGAAGGTAAGTAAAATGTAGGATACTGAGCTTTGGCATTGTTCCATTCTTTCAATTAACGCCATTAAAATCAGCTATTTCCTCAATTTTTCTGCATTTCTATGGATCTTTTAGCAATTTCCTGTTTTTTAGGTTAAATTTAGCTTTGTTGAGATTTAGTTAGTAGTTGTCTTGATCAAATTAAATGATTTTTTTTGTTTGAATGTAGTGAAAGGATTTTTTAGTTCAGTTATGGTGTTTTAATGGCAGATTTAGCGAAGGTTGGAGGTTTTGAAGACATTTTGGAGCAGAAAAAAGGGGATTTTACGGCGATTTACAATCACAGAAGCTTGCAAGAAGCGAGGCCGCACAGAAAATTTGGGAATTTTTAGGCTGATTTTGGCCTTATTTTTCATATTTCTTTTTTTTTTGTCCCTTATTATTTGCCTTAGTAGTTTTTTCAATTTATTTCTGTAATTTCCATCCCATTAAATGAGTACAGCTATGGTCTTACCGAGTTTGGCACGTGTTTAATGGATCTCTCAAGTTTGGCCATCGTGTTCTAAGAACGATATTTCACGAGATTTCGGCAAATTTTCGGGCACAATTTGTCTGGCTTTTGCTAGCACACCCGTGAAGGCTTTAGGAACCGTTAATGCCTTAGTTGTGACTGCAAGGATCTAAAATTTTTGCAAGCTTTCTATACTTCTTAGAGTAATATACTTCCACAGATCCATGAGATTCGAATGTTAAGGGATCTAATCCCGTCTCTACATTATTTTATTTTTAATTTTTTTTACGAAACATTTTAATACCAAATTTTGGGCCTCCATTTCTTTTCTTTTTTTTATTAACTGCCATCCGGAAAAAATATATAAAATATTTATAGAAAAAAAAATAGCAAATACCCCTAAAAGTTTATTGGAACTTCATATGAGGTTGTTTTTTTAAGCAAGGAGGTCAGTTACTTATAACCAGTGTTTTAAAAGATCGGCCGACTATCTCAGGGTTGTCAATCCTGATCTGGCTCGATTTCAACAATCATGTATGTAGAATTTTTTTTAGTGTACTAATGACTAATCTGATTAACCAGCACTACTAATCAGTGATTTATTCTAAAAATCAGCCAATAAATGCACAACGATAAAGGGTGTGGTTTTTATAAAGTTACAATTTTAAATAATCCAATTAAAGCGTACATGTAATTTTGGTAAAAAAAGTTTAGAATTATCTCAAAATCTATTTTTACATCAAATTATAAAATTTTAAGTTTTAAAAATAGTTAAAATGAAATATATCTATAAACATATGAAAATAAATTGACTAACTCGATAATGTATTGCATGAAGCACGATTGTTTAGATTCAGAATTTTTTTATTTATTTTTATATTCATTCATCTCAATAATATTGAGATATTTAATTAGGGGTTTTTTCAACATTAAAACAACCTTGTCCAATGGATTTTTTAGGAAACTTTTTCCTATAATAAATGTGGCACGTATAGAAAAGACGCAGAATGATTTAAGATCCGAAATACAAAACAAAAGGCGTGCAACCTTCGAAATTACAAATCCTAGTTCCTATCTTTCGGTTTTTCGGCACAGACGAAAACAATATCAAAATTTCGTGAGCCGAAATACCGGTGTGCGTGCGGTGCTTAGGTGGCCATATGACAGCGTCCCTGCTTTATTTTATTCTATTCTATAAATAATTGGGCTTTGCACAGCTGTCACACGCTTCGCCTTTAAGTTTTCTTGTCTCTGCCACACGTATGGGATCTCTCTCCCACATGTCAATAGTCAATCCTCAACTTGGCACGTGCCTTGCTCAAGGTTAATAAATTTTTCTTGATTAAAAAACAGTTTTGGGAAAATCTTGGAATTTGAGGGTGACGTGGTATTCTCGAGGAGCGGGTTACAATCATACTAGTGGGTCCGGGAGAGAGGAATTATTAATGGAAAATTGTTTAAAGGACGATTAATGCATGGTACCCCTGGGTATAAGGATAATTACAGAATTGCCATTGCCCCGGGCATTTTTATAGAGGGATGAAGTTTCTATGAGGCCTAATAAACTTTACCGAAACAAAGTATAAATGTCGTTATTTTCGTTTTTCAGTCTTTTTCGATTTAGCGAGAAAAGTAAGCAAAGTCTTTTTCGATTTAGTGAGAAAAATAAGCAATTGGGTGCTTTTGATTCAAGATAAGATTTTAGATTTTTTTTTTAAAAAATTAATACAAATAAATTAGATATTTATATATATAATATATATAAATAATGAAAAAATTAAAAGTAATAATGTATACAAATAAAGTATACATTATTTACATATAATATTTAAAATTTGTATATAATATATACAAATAGTGTTTAAAGCCTAGGCTCTAAACAATCAAATTAGAGCCTACCCGCAAATAATGTCGAGAAATGTGGTTTCAATACTGAAAATATTTGTGATAGCCTTAAAATATATTTTCATCTTTATTTATAAAGTTGAAACTTTCAAAAATAGTGCAAATCGACATATCTATGAAATTTTGAAAATCTTGAAAATTGACGGTAAAAAATGAGTTACAAAATACACTATTTTCAAAACTTGAAATCTATTTTTTTTCTCATGTCCATGCGTCTTGATGTTGAGATGATCAATTTGAGGATATTTGGGCATCAAAACAACCTCTTCTAATGAAATTTTTGAGGTAGGCTCTAATTTGATTATTTAGAGCCTTGGCTCTATATAAACTTTTCCATATATATATATAACTATTTCTTTGCTGGTCGAAGCAGACCCAATGTAGACCCAAAGCAAACCCGAAGCGGTTGAAATGGTCCGAATCTGATTGAAGGGACAACACCAAGCTTTGCTTCTGTTCGGTTTATGCATAAAAACTGAAGGCTTCAGCCTCTTCGGCCGAAGCGAAGCAAATTTGATAACATCGCAAAAATATAACCTCACCTCAAATCCTCGAAAAGCAGTTTCGACAACAAAAATCCCTATAATTACTCTAAAATCAATTTCCTATACTGATAATGAAATTTGAAATTCAAAAAATTGTACCGATCTTGCAGATCTATGAACACTTAGTTTTTGGGTGAAATGAACGGCCTAAATAATTTGTTACACTATATTATTTCCAAAGAAAAAAATTATCTACAGGAGAAGCTCTAAACAATCAAATTAAGGTACACATGAAAAAAACACTATAAAAGATTGTTTCGACGCCCAAAAATTCTCAAATCGATCATCTTGACCTCAAGATGTACTGACATGAGAAAAAATGGATTTTAAGTTTTGGAATTAGTACATCTTATAATATATTTTTTGGACTGTCAATATTCAAGATTTTCAAGTGTTCATAGATCTGCTCGATCTACACTTTTTTAAAGTTTTAAAATTTATAATTATAGACAAAAATAAATTTTCTAGCCATCCCAAAATTTTTATGAAACAACATCTTTCAACATTATTTCAAGGTGCGTTTAGAATATCAGCCTTTATAATGGATATCTTTCAATGCTTGAGTTGTAATTTTCAATGACGTGAGGCTCTAATTATTTTGATAGAATTGGAGCCTTATCAAACCATTGTCCTTTGTAAGAACTGTTTTGATGAAAGCGTTATGAACTTTCTGTATTATGCGGCGAATTGTTATTGGGATTGAAATAGAAGTGCAGGCGGATAATTACGCTTTTTTTTTTTTAATACTTGAACCGGATAACTAAGCTGTTATTTTCAAGCTGTTATTTTCAAAAGGTTCTATGCTCCCCTGAGCAGTTTCACGTATCACTCTTTGGTGAAACTCAATTGTCGAATATTTCCATGCTCCCGAATTTCAGTTGTGCGTGTAACTTCTTTTTGACCACCGTCGAAAAAAGTGCGAATTATTTGGAAGGCCACAACTCACAACTAAGTGTTTAAAAATTCAAAAAATATTTTTTAAATAATTATTTAGTGGTTTATGAAAAACGAAATTTTAAGATGAAAATTTACGGCAAAAAGCCAATAAGAAACTTATACGTTTGAATTTGGTTTGTCGGGATGAAAAACGATATTTTTAGAATTTTCACTATATTCCTAAAGTTTTACTGAATCATATTTGCAAGGAAAAAGTTTATATAGAGCTGAGGCTATAAACAATCAAATTAAATCCCATCTCAAAATTTTCACTAGAAAAGGTAGTTGATCCCCAAACATCCTAAATTGATCATCTCGACGTCAAGATTAATGGACAAGAGAAAAATGGATTTCAAGTTTTGAAAATAGTGTATCTTGTAACGTATTTTTGGACCATCAATATTCAAGATTTTCACGTTTTCATAGATCTGCTCGACCTACACTATTTTTGAAGCTTTAAATTTTATAATTAAATATTAAAATATATTTTAAGGCGATCAAAAATATTTTCAATATTGAAACCACATTTCTTGATACTATTTGAAGGTGAGTTTTAATTTGATTGTTTAGTAAACAAACCGCACCCGGCCATTGTGGGGTGTACATGTGTGCTTTATTTTATTTATTTATTTGGATAGATAATGACTATGTAGAGTTTCTTGATTATTCTTAATGTATGTTCCATGGCTAAAATGTGGCAAGACTAAATGGAAAAAGTCTTAAAAAGGAAATGTAGTATGTGGAGTCAGCTGAGTTTACTTCAACCCTAAATTACTGGTTGTTAGTTTGATACTTATGGCCCAACTGTTGTCCTGCTAATGTCCCTTCCACGTTTGTTGCCTCTTTTATTGATAAGTTTTTGAAATACATTTGAATGCATGATATGCGGTTAGACTTGTGTGATCTTTTGCCAGGGAATACAATTTTTATTCTAATGATAATAATCATTTTTTTTATATTTTGGTAAAGGATCACTTACCGAAAGTCTTTTTACAATTAATAAATATTTCAAAATAAAGTAAGACAACAATAAAAATAAAACTCAACTACTTGATGCCATTTTTACAACTTAACATTATGCTTGAGAATATAAAATAAAGAGCAAGAAAGTAAAAGAAAAGATGCCAGAGATTACCGTAACCGGGCTTATTATACCCATACCGAGTCACAACATCCAATGACGCTAGCTTCAATCTCGAACCGGAAAAACTAATTTCGGCCAAACTAGGTAACTACCATTGAATTTCTACAAAACTCGAACTCCAAAATAATTAGGCTCCAACCCTAATTTTCCCAACCTTTAGATTATATTAGGTCATGAGAGAGAGTGAGAGTCTCTAGGGTTGGGGCGTACCCCCTAGGGTTTTTTGGAAAGAGAGTTAGAGAGAGAAAGTCAGAGAGGAGAGAGAGATGCATGACTTCTAGGGAGGAGAGAGAGAGAGTTTATGGGAGAGAGAAGTGTGTCTAGATGGAAGGAGAGCACCCCTATTTATAGTGAAATTTAGGTTGATGGTTTCTTTAGGGTTTCCAATAGTTTGCTTCTTTCTTGAGATTGAATTTGAACCGTTGATCAATGTGACTTGTGGTGGGGTGAGAGATTTGAGCCATCCATTCTATAGATGGGCCATCAACATTAT